TAGTAATTTGGAAAGGGAATTTCTGGGTCATAAAACATTTAATTTAAAAAACAAAAATCATAATAAGGCATTTTGTCCATGTGGAATTTATCTTATTAAATTTAAATTGTGGTGAAATATGATATTTTATAAACCTTTTTCATATTGTTCTAAAATAAATTTTCTATCATTTTATTTAGGGATTTACCTAAATAACAATTATATTGACATGAATGATATTCATAACTCATTGTTTTTACATTACACCACACACGCCTAAATTTTTTATAATTATCATCGTTCTTCTTCATCTATACTCAAAATAATCTTAAAAATATAATTATTCATTTATTATTCTTAAAAATTTATTATTTTAAATAATTTATTAATTTGCTAATGAATAAATAAATAAATTTTTTTTTATTAACATTTTCATTTTTAAATATATTCCTAATCCCGATAAATAAAATTTTACCAATTCCATATTCAATTTTTGATTAGAACAAGTAGGTTTTTTAAAAAAAATTAATAGTTTAATTTTAATGTATATTTTTAGTGTTTAATTTTTTTTAAAAAAATATATGAATTCATTGAATAATAGCATAATTTATAACCCAAATTTTAATTTTTTTTAGAGAATTAATTGTTTCATTTTCATTTCCCAATCAATTAATAAATAATATAAAGTTATTGATTATTTTATTATTTATTTTATTTTAATAAAAAATATCCCGTTAATTGTCGTCTGCTTATTTTTTATTTTTTTTTTATTATTTACCAAATTTGTTAAAATGCGCATAAGAAATTATTTTGGAATTGGGAATTATAAAAAACATTTGCAAAACAAATTAACTTTTAAAAGTTATTTAATTTAATAGACATAAATAAAATTTATTATTGGGTTATAAAAATATAATTATAATTTACATAGTAAAAAAAATATATTCCTGGAAAATTTCATAAAATTTTTTGGTTTAAAAGGTAAAATGTTTATATATTATCCATCATAATTGTGTGCAATTTCTACATCCATCTTGTTAGCTGAGATTAGAGAACAGAACAATAGTAATAATTGATATTTAATTATATAATTTTATACATATTATTTGGTAGTAAATAATTACTTTAAATTTGCTATTATAATATACCCCTCCGAAAAACATTCCAAAGTCAAATTAAATCATGGACTTAAAAATTATTGAATAAAATTATTCTATATTAGACTGGAATTTCAGGTATGATACAAATTTTCCTTCGGCAAAATTTTAAACATTAAACTACTTATTGGAGATCAGAACGACCCGAAACTTTAAATTTTTATCTAGATTCTTCCGGTCTTAGCCAATTAAAATTTTCTACGATATTACTTTGTTAAATTCTTCAAAAATTATTAATTTTTTATGAAATTCCAGACCGTATTGAAATAATTTATATAAATTATCCTGCCCGGCCCTTATTTTTTTTGTTTTATGCAGATCTAGTCTTTTTTGTTTGGTCAAACTTCTTGACTGGTAATGCAAAATTGCCCTATTTGAGCCAATTTTTAAAACAGCTAACTTTGTATTTTATAAAAAAAAAATATTACGCAGGCCTGAAGATTTTGTTCATAGGCACAAAGGCTAACATCCATTCGCAAAATCTCGAGGTTAGACAATAAATGGCTAAAATTAAGAATAGACTCAAATTGAGAGATTTTGAATCAATATTCGAGGTAATGGCAGTAGCACTTTTTTAAAGAAACGAATTTTGTATTAATTTTGCTTTGCATTAAGGTCGTTTATAATTAAAGGGAAAAATGGTTTTTCATTGACAATTAAGAGAATAAAATAACTCAAGATTATTGTGTTTCTATTCAATTCATAAAAATTTACTATAAAATAATTTAAATTGTTTTATTGGTCTTGTATTCACTGCTCTATTTACATATAAAAGCGTTAAAATAAAATTTAAAGTCAAAAGGTTTATTTGATTTATCGCAATGAAATTGAAAAATATAGTACAAACAAACGAGAATTGTGTTTATAATATTGTCAAACTTGATGAGTGCCATTTCCATTTTTCCTCCACTAAAAAATTAAAAAAAGAATCTTTGCCTTGTCAACTTTTATTATTTGATTATTAGGTCAATTTATAATTTAAAAATATTACTCCTAAACCCCCCCCCCCCCCTTTCTTCCCCATGCAATTCGCTATTTTGATAACTTATTTATTTGAAGGAAGATTTGATATAAACAAATATAAATTCGCATCTTTGTTTTTTAAATTGTTGATTTAGTTTTTTGAAGAAAAATATTTCAGGTAAAATTTGTATTTGTTTGATATTGTTTCCTTAAATTATTATTTTTTTTGAAACAATGTAAAAGATCACAAGGATACTCTAGAATTACATGATGGTGGTATATTTTATGATAATTTTTAATTTAAAAAAAATTGATGAAATTATTAGAAATGTAAAGGGAGGGGAAGGAAGAAAGAGAATCCAAAATTTGAATAAACATATATTTAGTTTACATAAATGAGAATCTTTAACAAAGACCGGTACTTTTCAGAAAATAGTCGGCAGCATTCAGGATCAGTTTAAAAAGCAAGCGGGCTCTAGTAACTATATCTGGCAATGGGTTAAGCGGTCTGAACCTGCCATGTTGACCTTCATTAGGAAGAATGGAGTTTCTATCAAAATTTTTTAAACATTTTTTATGTATAAAATTTCTTTCTTTTGTTTAATATAAATGGCAGCCAATCGAATTAGAAAGCCACACTAAATTATAGTATATATTTTTGATTTCTTTGTATCCCGTTTTCTTTTCTTTTATAACACTTATTGTCCAACTAACCGTATTGAATTGAGCCATAAGACAAGAAAAAATAACCAAATTTTTATTTTAATTAATTATTAGAATTTAGAGGCGAAATTTTTGTTAGAAGAAAAAATAAATCAAAAATCTTGTGGCTATTCTTTTCAGACAAAATAGTTTTTATTTACACATTCTAATCATATGTTTTTAGGGTTATTTATGTTGTTTTTAAAAAAAATTAAAACAAAAAATAATATTTTTTTAAAATGTGGTGATAAAATGTTATAAAGATTGATGAATTTTTGAAAATCTTTCCAAAAATTGCCTTAAAAATTGATAAATATTTTCTCTTTTACCCACAGACAAGTTTATACAATGAATGGCCACCCAAATATTAAATTGTGAAGATCAATTTTGGCAGAAAGAAATTTCCAAAATAATATTGGGTTAGTGGATAAAATAAATGTTGGACAAAAAGATGCTCTTCTTTAGCTCAAAAGAATATTAACCCTTTACTCAATAATTTTAATAATTTTTTTGGTATTTTAGCCCTATGTTTTATTTATCCTTGAACATAAGAAGAATAAAAATGAATATAATTTAAGTTCAATTAAAAATCAAATGCATTGTTAATTTTTATTGATCAGATTTAGACTACTTTATCCTTGACTTAAATTTTATTTTTTTAACTATATATAAATATTTTTGATTTATTAGATTATAATTATCTATCTTAAAAAAGATTAATTTATAATATTTTTTTCAAGATAATCTTGCTAAAGTGACCCCTTTAAATTTAATTAAACCTGTTTAAATTGAACTCTTATTTTAAATATTTTTTCCCAAAAAAATCTTCTAAAATTAATTTTTTAAAAAATATATAATGTTCAATTGTTTACAAGTTCATTAAAATTAAATAAATAAATAAATTTTGTTGGGGGTTTTTTATATAAAAACAAAAATTAAAATTTTGTGGAAAATAAAATTTGTAAATTAAATTAAGAATTCTAAAGCCTCCCAAATTTGATCAGTGCATTGACCGATAAAGGTTCAAATCAAATTCCCCCCCCCCCCTTCATTTGGTCAATTTAGATTGCTAGACACTCAAATTATGCAAGTAAAAAATATTTTTAAATAACTTTGAACTCACTATTGTTTATTTTTTAACTAAGAGTTATAAAAACTGAAAGGTAAGTATATTTTTTATTTTATCAAAATTTAATTGTCTACTAAAAAGCAATTTTTTTTTATGGGGGAAATTTAAGATGATTAATTAAGACAATATTTTAATTTGATAATTTCAGAAAAAAACATTCACCAGAATGACACTCCAAGATTTGAAAATATAATTTTTTTCTTAAAATTATTATTCAAAAATAATATCATGTTAAAATGAGTATTTTAAGGTAATCGGGATGAGTCATAATTTAAACATCTTCAAATTTTATTTTTGATCAATTTCTTAATTAATTATATAACTGATGAGGAGGTCATTTTAGGAAGAGATAAGGAAGGAGGGAAAGAAAGAAAATTTTATAGTAAACGGAAAAGGTCGACTTTTTATATTTTGCTGGGTTATTTTTTAAAACAGTAAATTTTGAAATGCCTTGAATGAATCACGCCTTGATAATCAAATATATTTAATAAAATAAATTAAAAAATATGAAAAGAAATTAATTAAAAGGAAAAAATATCTTTTTAAAAAAGTAAATTTTATAATGAGTTTTGGCTAGAATATACCTTGCAAGCCAAAATAAGATATTATTTTATTTTTTAGGATGGGCCAATTTTCATAATCATTTTTATGATTTTGGCTTTGACTTCTATTATATTTTTTTACAGTTTTGATTTGAACCGCACACCTTTACTATAAAATTTACCTGTCTCATGTGTAGTTTAAAGAAAAATTTTTTTAGATATATAATTTTTATTTTTATGGGTTTATTTACTTTTTTAAAAATAAATGAAGGAAATATAAATATTAAATGAATAAAAAAAAATTGGAAAGAAAGAATATAAAATAAGAATTAAAATGAAATAAAATAAAATAAAAATAGATGAAAAGGAATTTTTATAAATTTAATTTTTGCGTAAAAATAATAAAAAAGAATAAAATGAATTAAAAAAATTAACCTCGCATTTTTTTCTGTTTTTTTTAAAAAAAAATAATAAAATTTTCATTTTATATAATCCAGTTATTCAAATTTTAAAATTGTTTTTACTACTTGCTACTAGTAATTCTGGATTTCTGCGAAAGTTCTTAAATTTGGATTCTATTTTATTGCTTAGCGTTTTTACCAATATATCCGATGGATGTTTTCCGAATCACGATCCTTATTCACTTAGTATACTAGGAAGGCCTGAGCAAGGTAAAAAATTTAAACTTATGGTATTATTAAAATAATACACACTTCTTAAATAGTTGAATAATTGTTATTTTTTAATAGTTATACCTAGTTTTTAGCTGGGAACTATTACCCTTCATCGATTTTTTTTGTTGATAGTATTGCACAATTTTAATGAAAATAGAAATAAATTAACTCTTAAGCGCTTTAATGTTTGGCAGATTTTCTTCAGTACGCGCCTGGAGAATAGCCGATTTGTATTTATTACCCAACTATATTTGTAAATGATAATATATATGATTAAGGTTTTAAAAATAAAAAAAATAACAGATTTTTAATGTTAATAAGTACCTCTAGCCCCAACTAACATCCGTTGCATCTATAGTAAAGCATTTGGGAGGCGCCCATCGTAGGTATATGCAACTCCGTAGTAACAGGATGTCAGGACCCCAAACAAATTTGCTTCTAATTGGTGGCGTAATCTTTAGATTAGAAATCCCCTAAGCGATGAAATTGAGGTTCAAGTTGATATCTTATCACTATTTCCAATTAATTATTTAGTCCTGCAGGGTGTTTAAAACGCCTTAAGTGTTTTAGAAAAATTTAAAATTATATCTTACAAACCAATATGCTTAGATGAAATTATCATTTTATTTCAAATAAAAATTTCGCATTCACATTATTTTCTGTAGTTTTCGCGAAAATTTTATTATTTAATACTTATTAATTGAACATCGGATTATAGGTATATTTTTTAAAATTTTTATTATATTTTTGAATATCATGAAATACTAATAAGAAGAAGGAAATAAAGAATTAGGAAGCAACTCAAGTGGAAGACTTATACAGTTTCAAGCATAAGGTTGTTATTTAGGGAACCCATAGCCAGCCTGCCCATCTAAATATTATTGTTTAGCTCACCCGCCCGTCTGCCCGATGTTTCAAAAAATATTTTTCCCATTGTTAATTTTTTTTATAGCCATACCATTGCAGAGAGTTAAATCTAACCTTGGCATAAATAGTATTACGTTGAATTACCTTATAGAGCCTCAAACCCGCCCGATCCAGGGATAAATTTAAAAAACTTTATCCAGCAAATTTAATCCGAATATTATTATTTTTTCATAGTTCTTAGTTTTATTTTTTAAAAAATACTCTATTTGAAACATGGGAAAAAAATAATAAGCCCTGATAGGGAAATTAAAGATTTTAATGCTATATTCATGAAAAGAAAAATAAAGTAATTTAATTTTTTTATCAAAGTTCTACCCCGGCCCTAAATTAAACATTTTTAATAGAGATTCAATCTGACCAAATTTATTTGAGTCCGACCGAACTCGGGTCGGTTAGATCTGTTTTACAGGGTTCTAAATAATTATCTATTTATAACAAAAATCGAAGTCTTTAATCTAAGCCTAATTTTATTATATCCCTCTAATCTAATTACAGCATTTTCTTTTCTAACATAATAAAAAAAAGAGGAGGGTTAAATTTCTACCTGAATTTATAAATATAATTAACGGTTAATTTTTTTCCCCCTTTTTCATATATATTCCATATTTTATTTTACTCCATTTTCAATCATTTTCGCATTTAATAAAAGGAGTTTTTATTGAAAATATTTAATTTTTTTATTTTTAACATATAAAAAAATATTTATTTTTATTTTCGTTTTGTAAAGAGTAAGATAAAAAAAAAAGATGAAATTAAAAAGAATAAAAGAAAAACAATTTAAAGGATGAAATGGATGAATGAATTGATGGAATGATTGAGCTAACTTAACGAATAGAATAAAAAGGATTATATCACTTACTGTTAGTGCATATCCTTTAAATAAAAAAAAATCGTTATCAAAAAAAAGGAAGATATTATAAAGATTACGGGGAGATGAAAAGATATAACCCATATAATTAAAACTAATTTATATGGTTATATTTATAACTACCTTTTGATAATTTTTCATATCAACCCAAAAAATAAAAAATTGAATTTAAAAAAAATATATATATTAATTACCCCCCCCCCCCCCCCACGCTTTTATTGTCCCAATATTACTTTATCAATATTAAATACACTAAAATTTATTTGAATAATTTTTGTCAAATGCTAATAATAAATTATATTATAAATTTTTTTTAACAATATAACCTTGATTAAATAATATATAATAAAAATTTTTCCAATAAAAATTACATAGATTAACATGAAAAAATACAGGAAAATTAGTATTTGACGACGAATATTTCCATTCAATTATTCATAACCAATTTTTGTCATGGTGCGCGAAAGAACTCTCAAAATTAATAAAATTTTTTGGATTAACATATGTTAAATAAAAATTGAAGTTTTTCTAATATATATTCCATGTTTCCTCTATCCGTTACCAAAATGAAGTGCCAAAGACTGAAATCAGCGTTCGGAAATAAAGAAGAAACATACGGGGTGCCTGTTACCACCGATAACGCCGCCGACTCCTCTAGTCAATTATTTTTTCCCTTAGATTATTATTATATCATCTCTTACTATACGAGGTTAAAAAAATCTATGGTTGTGAAAAGCGAGTCTCATGGACTATATTCGCACATCCTACCGATAGTCCACAAACACTTAATCGAAGTTAGCTTCTTCTTGGCTAAATTCACTATCCTTTTTATGGCTGCCACATTTTACGCAGCTAATCTATTCAAACAGAATTTTTGGCGACATTATTTTTTGTCCGTCACCTTTAACTTTACCACCCTGTACAAAACAAAACAACATATAATATTCTTATTGCTCTACTATTCATTATTATCCGTATATACGTGGTCCCCTGTCAAATCCGACCCCTTGAAGAATTACGTACGACACAATTTGAATGGTTTTTCCGTTCACGATAAAAACCTCAATTTCGATTCCTTCAACTCATTCGACACTAATAACCGAAGATTATTCGATAATTTTGGTGAGAACGAAAATCGAATCATATCTCTGTCACTGAATTCTCAGCCGGCTCGAACCAAAAAAGCTATTAACAGTTTCAACCTGAGCTATTCCTTGGTCAAGAATTCTGGTAAACCTTGTTTTCCTATGGATTCCTGTGAGCGACCCGATATACTGAACGAGGAGTCAAACTTGAACCTCCGCAAACAAAGTGCCTCCCATAAAAGGCTCAAGAACTGCGAATGCGACGCGGATTGCGTTATCTACGGTGACTGCTGTGCCGATTTTTATTCCATCGATGCTCCCGACAATGCAAAAATTGATCAAAAAGAAGAATATCCTAAATTCTCTTGCAAACACGTGTCGGGGTTGTACGATATTTACATGGTGGATGAGTGTTCTTCCGCATTACTGAACAACCATAATCTGAAAGTGAAATGCCACGCTACGGATTTCAAAGACCCCCTAACCTTTATCCCTTACACTGACTCTCGCACTAATTTTACTTACCGAAACATATTCTGTGCGTTATGCAATAATGATCCTTCTATTTTGCCCTCGCTCGTTCCCTGGGCCTCTACTATAAATTGCGATTTTTCACCTGCTTTCCCTGCAAATAACAAATTATCTTCTCTAACGACGGAATCATTTCTGGCCCATTATCTTAACCCATTGAACCCTTCGTACTCTAGCCTTGTTCCTTACACCTTTCAATACGATTCCCATCAAAAGTTCCTAGTTTGGCGATTTCCCCATGAATTTTTTGACTCCAAAGGTCAAGTAATAAGGGGTGAAAAAAACGTCTCCAACAGAAATACGGGAGATGATGGTGGTAGTACATGTTGGTGGAAATTTTCCCACCCTTCCATGACCATTATTACAAATTCGAGGAAATCGTTCATACTCAGAGATACTTCCTTAGACAAAGGCACCGATGGCTTTGAAAATAATGCGATAGGCCTGAGAAAATGTGTGCCAAAAGTAATCGACGATTGTTATCAAATCGCAAATGATACTTCGGTCATTTCTATCACCTCCGGATATTCATGGACTAGCAACGAGACTAAGGAGAGCCTGAGGGCAAAATGCCGTGCTTACACCGCTAGAGTATGGTCCCCCGCCTACGTTTACAAGAATACCCATTGCGCTCTATGCAACGGTGGTCAGGTTAAAGCGCTTTCGGAACTGAGCTGTTACGACGTATTCTCATCGCCCGATCCTTCGAATAGTAAGAAATATAAATTCAACAACGATCACCTCTACTCCAAGTACGGGCTCAGTTTACCCCCCACGCTAACTTTTTCATGGAAACTCATGTCGGATGGTAATTTGGCTGATCCTCTGAGAAAATGTTTACCGGGAAATATCTGGGATCCTTTCAAATCTCTGTGCATTAAACTACACTATTGCGCCAAAGGAACAGCTTACGACGAATCTTCTTCGCATCCATCTTGTGTTCAAATGAGTGCCGAAGAAATTGCGAGGTTAGCCAGCTACACATTGTCTACTCTTAGCAGTGAAAATTCTTTGTTGGATCCCAATAATTTTATATTCACGACGCTCAATTTGAACGAGAACAATAAATACGTGCTAAAAGATATCGACAATATAATCAATTCGCTTGGAGATGTTATCCCCTGCATGAATCCTAACGAGATAAATTCCGCTTTAAGCTTTAGTTATCGGAGCGATAGGAATTCTCTGACTAAAATTATCGCCTCGCTAGATCCCGACGGTTCTAGATTTACGGTGTGGGGTTCGGACAATTACGAAAGTTTAGACACAGGAAAACAGGGACCTCACTCAATTAGACTTAAAGCCTCGCGATTACCTCCGTCTTACAAGATATACTTAGACTATTCGGCCTTAGTGAATCCCGGAGAATACTACTACCTGGTTCAAGGCACCAGAAATCCCCGATATAACGGCGGGGAAAATAAGCATTTACTCTCTTTGCTCTCTCTAAGCCCTTCCGACCTAAAGAACGGGCAACGTTTAGCGGCGGGGAAAAAGAACGATTACTATAGTGACAACGTGAATTCTTCCCCGCTCTTTGTGTGCACTGAGACGCTCATATCCAAATTCCGGCACGACGATCCTTTTTACGAAAAGAAGGGAGGAGACTACGGCCTGAACGGTCCTGCCAGGGATTTTGTCTGCAAACGAAAAAGAATAGTAAGTTACTTAGCCCTTTTAATATCCTCCGCAATTTGCGTTAGTACCGTCATTTTGAGTCTTGTATATCGTTGCACTAATAAAAAATGGAACGACGAATGTATACCTTCAAACATCAATATTCTGGCTGTAAATGATAGCGGAAAGAAAAGGAGAAAAATGGGTAATGATATAATAAACGAGGGAAGAATAAAAAAATTGGGAATAGCCTTGGAGATTCAAAGTCCTTCTGATACTAATCGTTTACTAATGTCTATCCACTCTCTTGAGTGCGCCTTGTTAAATGCGCTCCTAGTCCTAGCCATGTTCTATTATTACCACGATTTGTCGCCATCCTTAGATTCTGGTTTCAAATCTTCAGTCGACCACTATTATCCGAGATGTTTATTCAGTCCTAACCAACATATGTATTCGCATTCCTTAGATAATTCGTCGTTAGTGGCACTTAACAAAACCTACGCTAAGCATATCCCTATGGTCATCACAGAAACCCTTAAATTGGGTTCCGAATTTTCACTTAAGTTTATTCAACCCTTCATCATATTTTGCCTATTCTCTAACCTGTTCTGGCTCGTGGCTTTTTGCTTAAACCGCTTTTTTGGCGCATTACAGGACTATAGAGATGGTACTAGTGATCATTATTCCGGTGCAAAATTTCAAGAAAATAATAAAAATTATATTTTGGATAGGAACGAGGGACCAGCCCTAGCTCGCCGTCACATGTCCTACGATTTTTGGAACGGGGCGGTTAGTTCCAAGCTCCCCTGGTTGCGTTACCTCGTATTCCAATGCTCGGTTTGGATCTTAGCTTTCCTCACCACGGCTCTCTTTTACTCCACCATAGTTATTTCCAGCTCTAATACATTTTTGACTCCCGATTTCTCGCATATTTTGAGAGATGGCAACAACGGATCGTCCAATTATTCAAACGTGAAACGATACCTTTTCTTGACCGTATTGGACGTTTCGCCTCTATATGCTCCGCGTCATAATAATAGCGAATTAGCTGAATTTTATTCCCGATCCTCCTTATTACAAGGGAATGGCGATCTTTGCCAAGCCTGCTCCAGTGTACCCCTTATCAATCCATTCTTCGGTCTATCTTTCTTACTGCCTCTAACTCTGTGCACAGTTTCTCTGGCCCTGATACTCAGCTTATCTGTCATTTGCCTTAAAACCGGCAACTTATGGTGCTTTAAATTACCTTCCTGTCGTTCGAATGTGGCGGTCAATAAACATAACCCTCTAAAGTGCTACGAGAGAGGGAAATCGCATCGTAATAATAAGAGAAACGGTACTTCCCATGATAAAACGGCGGACGAATTCTATTCGTCCCCTCCTCACAATGGCAGCCTACTTTATCCCAAACTAACTGGCAATAACATCAACGAATTTAACAGTAACACGTCGTCTTCGACCAATTCTTATACTCAAAATAATGAAGAAGACCATAACGTTGAAAATAATTATGATCGATTGATCAATTCCGAAAAATCGCAGCGAATCGATGCCAAAAACAGCGGCGAGACAAGCACCAGCAATAGCGGAAGTACTGATGACAATTTCACTAGCCACGATCCTCTTAACAAAAAACAACCCACTCTGCCCATGAGAAATAGCTGTTATAGCGATAATAAAAACACAATGAATTACGGAGAACTCAATTTTTCAGACATAGCTACAATCTTACTCATAATCATCACCTTAGTCCAATATGCCTTACTATCAGCTTCATCTACCTTAAATACCGCAAAATCTTCTTCCCGATTTTCTCACTTTTTGGCCAAGAGCGACAACATTTATTGGATACTCTATCTGGTTTTCACTCTCTTCCGATCTCTTTACCTTTTCACCCGTGCCGCCATCGAATTGAATTACTCATCCAGCACTGCCCAGGCTTTGGACGACGATCGCGCTCTAGATAAATCCAAATTCGCAGATTCCAATAACAAGTACCTCAGCCCCAAATTTTACAATCCCCTCGGCACCAATAAAGGCTCTTACGATGTCTATTTCAAACAAAATCTGTTGAATCACTCATCTCACCTACACACCCCCTGCCAGCTTAAGACTGACCATAATAATAACGTAGAATTATTACGAGAAAAATTGCTAGATAATCATCTAGCCAACAATAGCCCTAAAATTTGTAATAGTACTGCCGCTCCCTTCCACCATAATAATGATGATGCTTATTATAATAACCATAAGATTTACGGTCAGAGACCTGACAGGTTCATGGAACTGGCTCTGGAACAAGAGAAAGCTAGACTTCACAGTGTCAGAGATATAGAAATTTTGTAGATAAATACATTTATAAAATTAATATTTCTTTATAAATTAGGAAATTTTGTTAAATTTTTAAAAAAGATGAAAGAAAATTTAACAAGAATTCCAAATCCGTAAATGGAGCAAATGGCATTTATTCATATTTTGCAAACTAATCTCAAATTCTAATTTCAATTTTGTTTGTGTAATATAAGATTTTCTTTTGTAAAATATTTCCAAAATTTTTTTTTTTACCTTTTAAATAACTTAAATAATTTTAAGACGTGAGAAAATGCGATTTTATATAAATATTTTTTTTTGATTTAGGATTTTAATTTTTCAATTTTTATAGATAAGGAATGAATCATTTTTGATTAAAATCATATTTTTTAGTGATATAGTTCTATAAATTAAAATAAATTCTTAGTTGCTAAATGGAGTATACTTAAAAGAAGAAGAAAATATAAATTTTGGGAATTTTTATTCATAATTGTCGTGCTAATGTGTCAAGTGCTAAAAATTAACAAAGATATGTTTTCTGTATTTTTTTCATTTTTTCCTTTATTCATCTTTTTTGGTATGTATTGTTTATAAATATAGTTATAATTTGTGTAATGCATTATATTATAGTGTAGTTTTATAATGTTTATTGCCAAAATACACAGGTAACAAAAATCCACTCACATATGTTTACATTTAAAAAAAATTTTTTTTATTTCCAAAGGGCTAAAAAAAGGACGGGAGGAAATATTAGAATAGAAGGAGCGAATTCTAGAATGACAAAAAAAGAAATATTATTCATTTTAAGAAAATTATAATAATTTAATATATATTTTTAAAATATTTCTGTGTTCTTTTACATATAATCTAATGTTTTATATTATTATAATAAGTTATATATAATATATTATAGAAAATAATAATTTTTGGACAATTCAATCTTTGATTCAGTTGACACTTGACACTGTTTAAACAAAAGTGAACTTTTTCTTACATAAAAATATCATATTTTACATCATAAAAATAATTTTGTAATTATCAATTAATATTAAAAATGATATTAGGATTTAATTTTTGGATTTATAAATACTTAATTAATAATAATATATAGCTATAATAAACTTATTACTGGGTTGTCATTACGCTCACCCTCTTATTTACTAAACGTAATTATTTTTGATGTTAAGGACAGATAATAGAAGCTAAAAAGTAACGAGTATATAAAAAAAAATTGTTAAAATAATTACGAAATTACTTGAAAAAAAATGGTGAATTGATTTTTGACACGTTTTACGCATTGCAATCTATAATTACTTCGACTTCGTAAATAAGAACAGATGGCTTATTACATATACCAGCCCATTAGTCAATTATATAAAAAAATATAATATTTATACCTTTATAAAATATCGAAATACATAAAATCAATGACTACTTTAAAAAAAAATGAATGCCATTTAATTCCTATAAATCTTACATTTTTTAAAAAAGTATGTTTTTGATTAGATGAAAGATTTTTAAAAAATAACACCTGAAGGATTTATTTTTAGCATATATATCATAGTGGTTTCGCATATCCTTAAAAACTTCTTATGCCGGAATCATATTCCAGAATACACAGAGTATATTTACCCTGGCAATAGAACAATTTAACTTTTAAAGTACCTTAATTTATATTAATTCTTATATATATTTTTTTCATATAAATTTTTGAAAAAAACACAAAAATTTATGGCCAAATTATTCTGAAATTCACAGGGAAGGTACTCTATACATGCTGGAATATGATGTCCGCAAAATATGGTTTTTTCCTCCTCAAAATCATATAAGTGATTTAAGTTTTTTAAATTTGTCAAAAACACGGGCATATATCCCATTTTTATTTTTCCAATTTTATCTGATCATATTATTTCAATTTTTTTAAGCTCAAACCGTCCGGGATTTTATAATTATACCCAAGCTCAGTCAGAAGTTTAAAATATTATTTTACGATATTTCATTTTGCTGTTAAAATATCTTCCAATTCTGATAATCTGTTAAGCAAAACATTCATTAACACATCATAGTTGGAGAAATTGTTTAAAGGTGAACCAAGAAGATTTATTTTTCTTTTTTAAATAATTTAATTTTAAACCCCAAAACTTAGAGGGTATTTGAATTTAAAAAGTATATATTTCGATTTATTTAAAGTAGAGGGAGACTATTTTATACTGCTAAAATATTTTTAGATGATGACATCACCCAGAGACCATATGTTTATGTCTATGTTAAAAGTTTTAAAGAATGTATATTAATTTTTTGAGGTGTTTTACGAATTCCATATATAAATAAGAAAGAGGCCGCCAATTCAATTATTTATATTTAAAAAATAAAGAATTGACCATATTATTAATATACGTTTAATATGTTAGTTAACAAGGAATTTTAAAAATTTATTATAAATATTTTTTTAAGTAAAGATAAGAATAGAAACATAAAAAGAATGAATAGAAAATAATTTTTAAAAAATCAAATAGGATATCATTTTGCATATGTCATTTTAACAATGATTTATTGGTTTTTAAAATTTTAAAAAAGTCATTTGAAAAAAGTGGTATATTATTATAATTTTGAATGCTTGATTGAGTATGGTTTAAGAGGAGAAAAGGAATGGCATGGCAACTCATAACATAAAGCCATCCATCATTCTCTATGTATTTTTTTAAATGTGTAACATCTTCATAATTTTCATAAAATGAAAAATTTTAAGTATATATTAGGATGATAATGTAATGTTTTATTACTTATATAATAAATAATATGTTAATAAATTGATTGATTATTGGTTTTATTCACATTAAAAAAAAAATTTGTATTTGAAAGAAGAAAAATAAGGAGAGAATTTTTTTTTAAATTTTAAAAGACCTTGTTTTTGTTTGAGCATGGAATTTATAATCTGTGACTTAATAATTTAAAAATCCATTTGGGTCAAGACTCTCTTCATGACATTCCCAAGTTGACAGAGATATCTGACCCTGAAAATAAATTATAAGTGTCATAAATAGTGTTAAAAACTTAGATTTAATCAATTTTCGAAAAAGGGCGAAAACATTAGCCAAATATCGTCTAAACATAGAGATTTCGCCAAAAGATGGCAGAAAAGTTTGATCCCTCGTTTCGTCAAATCTCGAGGCAATAATATTTGATTAGTTTAAAATCTAGATTTTTTTTTAAAATCGGCTAAATTGAAGTTTTAAATCACCCAAATATGAGTAATTTTGTACTATGAGGATTCATTAATAAAGAACATTGCAAGAACCTAACAAATCCTACTTTTCCAGTTCCTTATAATTAATAACTTAATTTTATACGATTTTTTGTAGCGCTTATCACTATTATAATGTGGCATCAATAAGTAAATATATAAAAGTTACAATACCTCCTTATCTTTCCATTATGCCGCAAATGTATTATTGGCTATTTTGTGTTAATAATATAACAGATTCTAAAATTTGTTTAAAGGTTTTGGACTTTGTAAATGTAATCATCAAATGAATGTTTTAATTGTTCCAACCAAGTTAGACATATAAAATAATACAGTCGGCTTTTGGAAAAATATATTCAAAAAACTCGAATAGCTTATAAAAAAAAAATTTTTTTAAATGAGAAAATTAGTATTTATTTAGATACTACTTTCTCATGTGTGATACAGATTGATAATTAAAATAAACTATATTTATCCCATTATTACTGATTTAATTAGATGCTATTTAATTGCGTCCCTTTTCCAATCATCATATCTAACGAAATCGATAAATAAATTTATTTTTTACCCTTTATCAAATATTTATTATTATTTCAACAAATAAAAAAAGTAAACAAACTATGGTTGAAACCTGCAAGGACAGGTCCGATTTAACCCACCGAACTCAGGGCAGATAGGATTTAGATAGAAATTTTCTCAAACTTGACTGGATGCGTGATTTTAAAATGTATCTCAGAATCATTTTTATTTTTCTAATTGTTATTATGAAAATTATTTCCAAGAAAACCCATAAAATTGTTCATTATATGCATTTAAACGCTTATTTTTTTCCCCGTGATTTTAATACTATGATATTTTCAAAAGTCCAAAATATATCTACGAAAAAATAGGTACGATTTAGGACTCTAAACTTGAATGTTACTATTATTGCCCTCTTATCAGACATATAAACTCATAACAGACATATAAACTCACACTTTTAGCTCATGTCTTCGCAAGTCTTTTTAATTACTTTTTAAGACGTGGCCTTAATAAAAAAGTTAAAGTTCTTAGATTTAGAAAAAAATATGTTTCTGGTTTTTAAACGATTTTGAGGATTCTAGTGTCGTTTCGGCTTCCAAATTCTATCAATAGGCTGTGAAAAAAATATTTTCAAAAAAATTTTAAACACAAAATAAATTTTTTTGAAAATGAATTACTCAACATTTAACAATATAACATAAATCAAATTCGGTAATTTTGTTAGATTCGGTTTTGGATTCCTAAAAACTTTAAAAGATTTTTTTCTTTCTGGTTTTTATGAATTTTTTTTCAAGATTTGTCCTGGCTTAAAGGATATCAAGTCCTGATTTAGGTTCCATACTTACTATGCCTACAACATTCTCAAATATTTTTGGGTTTCAGAATTTTATTATGCTTTTTATCATTTTTAACTAATTAGACACATGATAAAATTTTTTTTTAGTTAACCACACCGTGTAACTAATATTTTCGAGTCATCATTTATTAACAAAGTATAATACCTCGAATTCTTCTCATCTATTTTTCCCGAGAAGGGTTTCATTTTATTCAACTGGTAGTTTCGCCTAGTGCCAGATTTAAGTAAAATTAGAAATATTTTTTTTATCTACTTTTATATAATTAGAACTTCTCTGGTATAAGGACAAGGTAGTTAAGGAATTTTAAAATGAGATAAATTTCTATTTTCCAGTCAAAAGTTTCGGAACAGGCCTAAGCCTAAATATATATATAAATAAAATTCGGGACAGATTCAGGCTTAAAAATAAAAAATGAAATTCGCAAAGCTCAAGATTTACCGTCAATTCTATAGTTTAAGAATGGTGGGGGGGGGGAATAGGGTTGTTATCTCTTAGGCTAAAAAAAGTTTAACTCATTATCAAATGTCATTTTTAGCAAAAAATATGAATATGTTTTAAAAAGACGACTAATTTTATTGGTATAGAAATTTCAGAGTATAGAACCAAGATAATGAAATAGCGGATCCCTAGAATAGGTGAGCCGCTATCAAAGAGAAAAAGTTTTCCACGGGAGTAATATTCCAAGTTATTATGATTTTTTTTGAAATTCTAAAGGACTTCTAGGAAAAAAATGGGCAAGAAAAAATAAGTAGAAAATAACCGAGAAAAAAGGACTAAGGAGCAAGAATAAGAAAGCATAATAATATCGATTAAGCTAAATAGATATAATATGTACATATTTTTTTAATCCTTTTAATAACCTCGCACGAAAATTAAAATATTTTTTACTTTAATTATAAAATAAATTGACAATTTATTTTCGATTAATTAATACATCTTAAAAATGGGACATTCATAATGATTTTACCCGATAATCCATAGAATTATCTTCTTTTTTTACTTCTAAAAAATTAGCAAATTATTTTTAAAAAATCAAAAATGCAACTTAAATAACGAATATACACTAATATTCTTGACATTTTATAGCATTAAAAATATTGACCCTTATATTGTAAGCCCGATAGTAATATAATCTTTATACCCATTTTTTCTTATATGATCCCCCATCATTCCCGCCTTATGCCATCTATATCTA